CTCCGCAGGGAGTCGCTAAGGGCACGGGGAGGTCAAAGCTCCAGCAGCTCTCTGAACATTGTAAACATACTTCCTTCCTTTGTCCCGCCTTCCCCAGCTGCATAATCAGAGGCGCCGACAGGCTAACAGAAACAGAGCCCCTCTTTCAGYGCTCACCTTGTCTTCCACTGCTCCTAGATCAGCCGCGGAGCGCTGGCCCAGGCTGGCAGGCGCAGCCTCCTTCCTCTTCTCCCTCTCCCTCTGGCTGGTGTGTTTGGTCTTGCACGGCCGCTTGCCCTTGGGTTTGTCAGTGTCACTGTGGCGACGGGGCTTGAGGGGAGGGGTGCCTCCCACGCACAGCTCTGGGACTGGGGATTGGGGGCCCCTCCTGGGCTCCTTGAGGCCACGGTCACCTGAGAAGAGGTTTGGCTGGTGCTCTCTGTCCTTCAGCTGGCCGGGGGGAAGGGCAGCTACTCCTGGAATAAGAGGAAGGGGGGAAAGGGAAACAAGAGAGAGAGAGACGGTAGAGCTCAATGGAAGAGGACTTTACGAAGGCCATCTCTGACACTCTGCTGGTTTTTTAATAAGCTCAGAAGCTGTCTGGGAGCACATGTGCCTGCTTGCACAGGATTTGGAAAAAAAATTCAAATAAGATATAAATCAAATTAGCAAGCTACCCACATAAACCCCTTATATACTGACTTGTATACACAAATTCATTCCAGTTTTATTTTAGAATAAATGTCACTTTTCTTCATATTTGCAAACAAATAATCCTTGAAAGGTTGTTTAATTCATTTATGTCTTAAGATTATTTAAAATTCTTTATACACTTAAATATGTGGTCAAAGATTGAACATGGTGTTAAAAGGTTTTGTAGATAGAAATCAAAATTAAATAAAGAGACCAAAGCCCTGATATACAGTATACACAATGAAACAACCACTCTCACACATGTTGCTACGGGGATGTTATCTGAAAGGTGAAAAAGAAATAAATCAGTAGCTTATCGAGGCCTGTGGTTTCTCTGTTGAATATTAACCCAAAATCTCTCCTCAGTCATTTACTTTCTCCAGCTTTTCTGTTTTCATATCTGTGTTTCGAGCCTCTCGTCTACAATTTCTGAGCACGTRTAGGGGAACCACACACACTCCAACACAGCTTCAATAAATCCCCACTCTCTTCCTCATGACTGGTCTTGAGACTCAGAAAAAAAATCATCATTGATCACACATTAGTCACACTACACCTGCTGGTATGTTTCGCCACTGATCATTTCCTCTTATTTGTCTTTTCATTGTCTTCGCACAGCCTGAAGCAGAGAAGCTGAACTAACAGAACCACAGAAAGAAAAAATGGGGATGGAAGGGGTCGCTGTTTGTGTTTTAGCCTGCGGTCCCTGGGTTCTTTTTCGAACTTTTCATTCTTTCCTCTGGTCAATGGAAGAGTCCCCCTAATTTTTTCTTCTGCCCTCCCGCCCGTTTCCTGACTGCTCTAGGGAAATCCCCTAAAGACTGTCTGCTTAACAAGAAAGTGAAACGTGAGCCAAAGATAGATTTCCGTTACCCTAGTTGAACTCCGAGTTCAAAACCAGCGGTTTGCACGGCTGGTGGTTAACTCTTACCATTAGGTAGCTTCTCGCAGCCCCATTTCCTGTTGATGTCGTGTCTGTGCGCCGCGGCCCTGTCCTCGCCTTCACTCAGTCTCATTTTGCGTTCCCGTTGGTTTAGGGCTGGGTTTGGCAGCCGGGGCTGGGACCAGACCTGCTCCAGTTTGACCTGAGAGCGGTCAGGTGACACAGCAGCACCTGCAGCGGGCTTGCTGAGTCGGAGTCCCTTGAGTTCGATGCAGACCTTGAGTTTCCGCACCTCCTCATCGTCGTCGTCTTCATCTGGGCTGGTCTGCTCGTGCTCATCTGCCAACAACACAAACAGGCTAAAACATTGCAAAGCTTTAAAATCACTTGTGTAAYAATTGTGCAATAATTTAAAAAAACAGTTTTACTGATGCTTTAGACAAAATGACTCGATCAAGGATAACTAGTCTAACAAATTGAGAAGAGATGAACAATAATCATACTTATTAATAGTTTTTGATGCCAATACAAGTATATTAGCATAACATTTGTTTTGTGTTGAAAATGAGAATTTTTACCTTGATTTTTGAGGCCCAACAATAGAGCCAGGAAAATAGTTAAAAAACCTACATTTATATATTTTTATACAATATTTTGAGCAAAAATATAGACTTTATAAGCAACTTGAAACAATAGTCCAGATCTTTGGCAATGGGGTTTTTCTGAAAAGGACTTCTTATATCTGTCTGACCTAAAAGCTAGTCCAAGCTAACAACTAAGAAAAAAAGTAAATTGCTACTATATCATAAATAATTATAAAATATAAAATTAAGAGAATATATTGCAAGACAGACAGAAATGTAAAAGATCATAAAATATCATTCATACAACTGTTATTTTATTATTGGATTAGTTAAGACAATAAAAATTCAAAATTTTCTCTGTTCATATGAGCTGTAACTAGTCAGTCCAGTCAGATGTAAACCAGTGTTTCCCCTAGGAAATTGGTCTTGGGGGGGCTACTTGTTTTATAAAAACAAATTGACGTGACTCACCTGCAATTATGGAAATAAATTTACACATACATGAATATTTAATTGCCCAACTACATCCTAGTTAAGGACTCCTCATGATAATTATCAATAAAATTATTACTGATAATAAGTGATCAGAACTGTGTGCAGCAGATGATCTGAGTCCAGAGTTCTCAGTTTGAAACCTTCTGGAGCTCTTCTGTGTGACTCTAGGTGTGACAGAGTGTGGATGGTTGATTGTCTCTTTGTGTCCCTGATGGAGACTGGAGACCTGTCCAGGTGTCTCTGGTGAACTGGAGACCTGTGCAGGTGTCTCTGGTGAACTGGAGACCTGTGCAGGTGTCTCTGGTGAACTGGAGACCTGTCCAGGTGTCTCTGGTGAACTGGAGACCTGTCCAGGTGTCTCTGGTGAACTGGACACCTGTCCAGGTGTCTCTGGTGAACTGGACACCTGTCCAGGTTAGTCTCTGGTGAACTGGTGAACTGAACATCTGTCCAGGTGTCTCTGGTGAACTGGAGACCTGTCCAGGTGTCTCTGGTGAACTGGAGACCTGTCCAGGTGTCTCTGGTGAACTGGACACCTGTTCAGGTGTCTCTGATGAACTGAACAGGAGACCTGTCCAGGTGTATCTGGTGAACTGGAGACCTGTCCAACTG